TGTTGGTATCAGGTCTAAGAGTTGGGTGGCGCCAGGCAGCTGGGAGTTGTAAGGAATATGTGCTTAGCTTAGGATTTCTCCACATTTCTACCGTCTTGGGAACGGGAAGACAGACTAAGACCCAGAACCCTGGTTCCACTCCCAACTTTCAGCTTGCTGAGCCTCAGTTCTCCCAATAGACAGGCAGATAATATCTCTCTTTCCTGAGAGCACACATCCGACCTTTGAACGAGAATGAAAATCCATAACCCCTGAGCTCAGGAAGTTTTCTGGGGCTAGAGAGGATATGCCAGGAACCCACGGAGTCCACAGAAATGTCTTAGCCACCAACTCTATAGCAAAGATAGTGCCTGGGCTGATAGGAAGCAAGTTGACTGATTTAAGAGAGCTTCCTGGAGGTGTAAGCATGCTAGAGAGTTCATGTGATTTCACTTTGTCCACTGTTCCCTTTTCTTCTGCACACAGGAAGGGTGGAGCCCCAGTCCTGGTTTGGAACTGCTCTATGTGCTGGGGAGACACCTTACCCATGCTTGCCCCTGTTTCTTAGAGGTGCAGCAAAACTCTTCCACACCTCTGAGCAGAACAAACATTTGGAGGCAGGAGGGAGTCTCATGGCTGAGTGTCACAAGGTCATTCCCTGAGGTCTGCAGTTTCTTCTGAAGGGGCAGGGACAGGGTCAGCGGCCTCCTCCTGGCCCAGGGCTACAGAAAAGGGAGAAAAGATGCTGCTGGGACACCATCCCAGAGGCCTGGCTTCCACTCCACAGGCCAGCTGTGCTGTCTCTCACCACAGGGTACTGAGAGGTCACTGCTGTTTACAGTCTCCACACATCTGTTCTGAGTCACGCATTCATTCATTTAATTGGTTATCACTCACCAAATATTCCTGAGAGCCCACTATGTGCTCGGGACTTTGATGGTCTTTGAGGACAAGTTCAACCAAAACAAGATTCTTGGGAAACACAAATGAGAACCTAGTGAATGATGGCTACGCATGTTAGAAAGTCATTAATGTGGCTGCAGTGAACTGTGGGAAGAGCCAAGTGGCATCCTTAAAGGAGGGGTATTTGGCTTTAGGAGAGGCTTTAAAAAAAGCTAGGTTTGGTGGCACTCGTGTAATTTTAGCACTCAGAAGAGGCTAAGGCAGGAGGATAGCAAGCTAAGACTAGCCTGGGCTACCTAGTGAGACCCTATCTTTAAAAAAGAAAAGAAAAAAGATTCTCCTAAGAGTTGTACAGGCCAAAAACCTTGGGGACCAAATGACAAGTCTTTGTAAAGACCTAAAGGCCCTGCACACTGGTCTCCCACTGCATCCCTCACCCCATTTCTTGCCTCTTCCTCTTCCTTTATTTCTTTCCAACTTGCTGTCCTTCAAATGGTGTTTTATATTTCCTTTCTTACTTTTTTCTCCTTAGCACTTTTTACATTGTGTGTGTGTGTGTGTGTGTGTGTGTGTGTGTGTGTGTGTGTGTGTATGCATTCGCAGTTGGAGGTTAAGGAAAACCTGCAGGACTTGATCCTTAAACTCAGGTTATCAGGCTTAGTGGCAAGTGCCTTCATCTGTTGAGTCATTTTATTGGTCTTGGTTTTAAGACAGGATCTCGTACTATAGCACAGACTGGTCTTCAACTTATAGTAATCCTTCTGTTTTAGGCACTCTTGTGTTGGGATTATAGGCATGAGCCACCATGCCTGGAAAATTCCATTTTTTTTTTTCTGTCTTTTTGAGACAGGGATCTCCTTGTAGTCCAAGTTGGACTAGAACTTGCTATGTACACAGGCTGGCCTTGAACTCACAGAGCTCCTCCTGCTGAGTGCCGGGATTAAAGATGTGCACCACCATGCCCAGCAAAACTCCTCTTCATAAAATCAGCTAGGCAGCCTGACATGGTGGCACATTGCCTTTAATCCCAGCACTCAGGACATAGGCAGATCTCTGAGGGTTCAAGGCCAGCCTAGTCTACATAGGGAGTTCCAGGCCAGCTAGGGTTACAGGGAGACCCCCTTTCTTAAAAAGATCAAAAAGACCAAAAATAAATAAATAAATAAATAAGCTAGGCAGATGTGAATTACTGTGCCCAAGAGTAATCAATTCAGCTTATACCATCCTGTCAAAGCATAAGCCTGCATGGAGGAACAGAGCCCTGGGAGACTTAGAAGTACAACAGAAAACATACACAGGTTAACAGAAAAGACTTGCAGTACATTTTATGCAAGACATGAGAGGTTTTCATAAAACTGTAACATTCTTTTTCTTCCTAGCTGATTGTATATCACCGTCTCTCCCATGACCTATTGTATGTACAAGCCCCAAATGAGAATGAGATTATTAATTTCTGCAAAAATGTCAAGTTCAATGACCATGACCAAACCAAAGTAACCAATCCATAATTCCTTCCTTAATTCATTTCTAGAAGTATTACAGTCACATGATAATCCTAAATCTGCAATGAGTAAAGCCAGCACACCTGAGTAGCTGATCCAAATGCATGTCCAAAGTCAATTCCAATCATGCTGCCCGTCTCCATAGCCACCAAGAAATTGTTCAGGTGTCTGTCTCCAATCCCAAGGAGCCAGTGGCTGATACACAGCAGTGCATGAGAGCTGGCGAAGTGGAAACGGAGTGCCAGGAAGGCCTCAGGACCAGTGCTCATCTTTATGAACGCCCGCCTGGGAGAAAGGGAGCCATGTGTGGTTTCTGCTAGGTCACTGGTGCTTGTAAAGTCACAAACATACTTACTTTAAGAGATCAGCGGGCACTTGATTTTCCCTTTTTCTAAAAGCCATGACTCTTTCTGTACAATTAGCTCTCCTATGATTTAAGAACAGAAAATTCCTTGTTAGAACCAATTTTAGGTGATATGAAATTTAAAATTTAAAATTACTTATACTGAAATACCAAATAACCACATTTTTATATCTGGGCCAAAATGTGTTCCTTCCTTCCAGCCCTTCCTTCTCAGTACTGGAAAATAAACCCAGGGCTTTGGATGTGCTAATCCAGTGCTCTAACCACAGTGATACAACCCCAGGCCACCTGATGCAAAAGTTTCAAGAACCAAAAGTAAGCATGCAATTTTGAGAAGAATGAACTAGTTAATACAAAGGCAAATCAAAACAAAACTTACTGATACATTATCACGTAAGGTCCAACACCACTGTCACGTTTTCCTGATATTTTGGTCAACCAGTCTTTATAGTCACGATTCAGTGCTCTGGGATCACTAAAGTAGGAAAACAGGAGTTGGGATTAAGGAGATCTATTGTACTACTTGATTCTAAAGGTAAAGTACTGAATATTGAAAAACAGTGAAGAGATGGGGAAAAGTAAATACAACTTTTAGACTCATTTTTTTCTTTGTTTTGTGTTTTTTAGAATTCACTCTGTAACTGAGATGATGTGAACTCGGGATCCTCCTGTCTCCACTTCCCAAACACCGGAGGTACAAACGTACAACACATGCCCAGTTCTTTGCTATTTTTGATCATTTCCTCTCTGTTCAACCTACAGTTTGTCACCAAAACCTATCAACTCCACTTTTAATAGCTCTTAAGAGTTTTCTTTATTTTCCTTTATAGCAATAACCAAGCAAGGGGCTGGGGAAATGGCTGAGGAGATGGCACAGCGGTTAAGAGCACTAGTGGCTCTTCTTGAGGACCCAGGTTCAATTCCCAGCACCCACATGATGGCTAACAACCATCTGTAACTCTAATTCCACGGGATCTGACACCCTCTTCTGACTTCTGTGGGCATTGCACAAAATGGGTGCACCTCCTTACATGTAGGAAATACACTCATACACATAAAATAAAAATAAAATATTTTTTAAAAAAAGAAATAACCAAGCAAAAGATAAGATCAAATAAAGGGCTGGGGCTGTAGCTCAGTGGGAGAGTGCTTAGTGTGCACAAAGCTCTGGATCTTCTATTTCGTCTCTCACAAATACTGCATATTTTTCTCTCAGATGTGGAATCTAATTTAATCTCCCCTCTCTCTCCCTCCCTCCCCCCAACCCTCACTACCAGGAGAAAGGGGATTATGAGAGGGAGGAAGTGTCTTAAGGAGATGGGAGGAAAATACATGTGATGAAAGCAGAGAGGGACCAGGAAGGAGACGAGAGAGACAGAGGAGGGCAGAAAGTGAGGGACCAACAAGAACAAAGTGTGACATATATGTATGAAAATGTCATGAGTTCCAGGCCAGCCTGCATAGTGATTCCAGGCCAGCTGGGGCTACAGGGAGACCATATCTTAAAAAAAAAAAAAAAAAAAAAAATTGCTGGGTGTGGTAGCACATGCCTTTTGTCCCAGCACTCAGGAGGCAGAAGCAGGCAGATCTCTGTGAGTTCAAGGCCAACCTAGTCTACATACCTAGCAGGTTCCAGGCCAGGCCAGCTGGGGCTACAGAGAGACCCTATCTTTAAAAAGACAAGAAAAAAAGAAAATGTCATAATAAAAATCGATTACTTTGTATGATAATTTAAAAACCAATATAAAAAATTAAAATTAATGGTTTTAGAGAAAATAAAATTTTTCTTCTTAAAAATACAGAAAAAATGGAAAATAGAGAAAAAAAATAAAGAAAAATAAAAAGTACCCATATTCATGATGCAAAACCACTAAGAATCCTAGCTATCAAATCAGCTCTACAATATATACATGCTAAATACCTTTAGTTGTCAACTTCACACACCTGGGTTGAGGGAGCCTCAATTAGGGAATTTCTTTCATTGGACTCGCCTGTGGCCATGTCTTTGGAGCATCTTCTTGATTACTGAGTGATGTGGGAGAGCCCAGCCCACTGTGGGTGGTGCCACCCCTGGGCAGGTGGGCCTATGTTGTACAAGAAAGCAGGTTGAGCAGGGGCCAGGAAAGCAGGCCAGTAAGCAGCGTTCCTGCATGGTCTGTGCTCCAGCTCCTGCCTCCAGGTTCCTGCCCTGAGTTCCTATCTTGGGCTCCCTGATAAACTGTGACCTGGGAGATGTAAAACAAAATAAACCCTTTCCTCCCCACCCCCCACCAAAAAAAAAAAAAAAGAATCGTAGCTATCAGTGTGTATGATGAGCTTCCTGGCCTCTCCGGACCCAGGCTTCCTCAGCTGCAGAGAAGATGGTGGCCCCCACAACCCCTGCAGGCTGCTGTGAGAAGTGAAGCTAAAACCTACTGGAAAATGAAAGTAGTTCCCAGCATACAGATACTATGTATTCACTGTATTTCCTCTAACACTCTTCTTTCCTTTTCCCTGAAGTTGATATATTTTATAGGCCATGGTAAAAGATACATGACCACTATCTGATCTCTGCACTTCATTCAGTTTATTCACCGAGATTAAAGCAAGGGATGAGGTGAGGATGGAAGATATCCTGAAGGGGAGGTGCAAGACACTGCTCTGGAACCAGCTGACTAAGGGTGTGAATGGGGTTCTTGGGCACACAGGCTAGAGGGCCTGTGTGGAACAGAAGCAGCCAGCCTCATACTGCCTCAGATAAGACACTTACTCCTCTCGCGACATATTATTCAAAAGAAGGTCCTTCAAGGTCAAAGTATTGTCAATCCATTCGATTAATCCTAATCTGAAAAAGAAAAGAAAATGTTTACAAATGGTGCAAACAGGGGGCTGCAGAGGTGGCTCAGCAGTTAAGAGCACTGACTGTTCTTGTAGAGGACCCGGGTTTGATTCCCAGCACCCACATGGCGGCTAGAACCTTCCTTAACTCCAGTTCTGGGGAATCCACAGCCCTCTTCTGACCTCCACGGCATTGCACAACACGGGTGCACTCACATACATGCAGGCAATACACTCAATACACACAAAATTAAAATAATAAGTAAAATATAAAAAAACAAATGGTGAAAACTCTTTCATTGCTAGAAAAAAATGTCCTGAAGTATCAAAGCAAAACAGATTTCTTCCTCTCCACTCTCCACTTCCTTCCCCATGTAAATCTAGTCTAGCAGGCTGTCCAGGGACCTATAGCACCGACATGTCCAGCACCCCCAAACTGTCTCAGGAGAGTTACATGAGGGCAGCGTATATTCTTTCTCTGTCTCTTTCTATGTCTCTCTGTCTCAAACACACATACCCCACAGATTCACTCAGACCACACCTGGAAGTCATGGGCACGACATGGTATGTCCTTAACTGCATGTTTCTCTGACTGCAGGCTGCATCACGGGAGAGGATGATATTCATGACTTCAAAGAGCTGTTCAATGCGCTGCTCCTGACGAAGGTCCTCACCGCCCTTCACAAGGAAAAGGTATTCTTTTTCATCATGGCCTCGAATAATGATACACTTTGGTTTCCTTATGGAGGTCATTACCTTTACCTTTAAAAATTAGGAAATGTGTTGTTGCAGTTTTAAAAGACAGTCCTGCTATGTTGTCCAGCTTGGACTCCAATTCCTGGGCCCAAGTGGTCTTCCTACCTACTCAGGCAGCTGGTACGGCAGGTGTGCAGCAAAAAATATTTCAAGAGCAGTCTCAAACTAGCTCATCACACCATGGTCAAAAGGAAAAAAGCAAGGCTGTTGCATGTGTTCCTTAAAGCGAGCCTCTCTTTGGAGATGGTCAGTAGAGAGAAAAATAAGAGTCTGGACTGTGACTTCAGGGCTGGCTGTCATACTTGAATGCTGTGCCTGCATAAGCAATAGTGCTGGCTACAAACATATAATTACAGTTGTCCTCAACAACTGACAGCCAACATGCAACCTTTTATAATAGATTAATTCTATACACAATTTGTAATGGATAGACAGAGCCTCTTCATTTAATAATATTCTTAAGTATGACAAACACTGGAGGCATTATAATAAGGAACTTGGTCGATAATATAGCAAGAAACCACCATATTGTTTGAAAATAACATGGGAATGGGAAGCTGAGCAGCACATCTAAGTGTCACATCCTTGATGAGGATGACAAGCCCTCAGAACTTACCCGCTCATCAAACCCAGAGATCCGTGCATGGTATTCAGGTAGTGGTTTGCCCTTGCCATCATACTGACCTAAAAACAAACACAGGGCCTCGCTTAGATACCTACCACCTATTACAAAACCTCCAAGTTTTAGAACTTGTCAGTCTAATAAAAAAATGTTCATCTAACAAGACACTTTTTTTTCTCAAAGTTTTAATTTAAAGAAAAGGCCTTTTTCTTATAACTGGGAGCAACTGCACAGTTGTCAATAAAAGCCAAAAAAAATTGCTTCTCCCAATAGCTTTCTCCTATACTTGCAGAGAGGAGAACATGAGGAACTAAATTAAAACATCAAAGAACAGGGATAAACCAATTTCTTCTGAAAAATCTTGTTCAACTCTGGTCAATTTGCTTCATGTCTCCATCCTCAATGTCACAATGTTTTCCTGTAGTTAAGTCATTTATGATTGACCAGTTCCTGTACATGGGACCAGCTAGCATATCCCAGGATCAATGTGTATCTACACATGCATTTATTTCCGAAGAAGAGTTACATAGGAGCAATGAAAAACAATCCATGATTTGGGGTTACCAAAACTACTAAATCAAAATCTGAACGCTACCACAATTAAGACTATAAGGAAACAGCTGGGTGTGGTGGCACAGCACTCGGGAGGCAGAGGCAGGCAGATCTCTGTGAGTTCAAGGCCAACACAGCGAAAAGAATATAAGGGAACCATCAGCAGCAGTAAAGTGTATTAATTCATAGTAATTATGAGTTATCCTAAAAAATGAAAATATTAAATGAAATGAAAAATTTTAAATTCTTTTTAAAAAGACAAGGGAAGGGTGCTGGAGAGACAGCTCCAGCAGTTAAGAGCTTGTACTATAGAGGACTGAGTTTGGTTCCCAGCACCCATGTCAGGTGGCTCACAACTACCTGCAATGCACATAAACTATACCCCCACACAGATAGATACAAACACATAATTAAAAATAAAATAAACCTTCAAAAAGGAGATGAGGCTGGGGAGATGACTCAGTGGAAAACACTTCCCATATAAGCATTAGGATCTGAGTTCAAATCCCCAGAACTCATGCAAAAGCCAGAAACAACAGCATGCATATCTGTGGTCTCAGTGCTTCAATGGGGAAATGGAAGGTGGAGACAGGAGAATCCCTGGAAGATCATGGGCCAGCCAGTCTGGCATAGAAGCAAAATAACCAAGAAGGCCTCCTCTCTTAAATAGGTCCAAGGTGAAAGACCGATACCATAGATTGCCCTATCAACCTGACCTCCATACGTATGCCATGGTGTGCGCACAAACAAAGGTAATTGTCAAGATCCCAGTTCACTGCTTACAAACCAAGAGTACATGCTATGATTCTGTTCTCCTTAAGGTTTGGTCCTGTCACTGTTAACTACTGAGGTTGATCCTGTCACTACTGTTAACTGCTGAGGTTGGTCCTGTCACTGTGAACTACTGAGGTTTGGTCCTGGCACTGTTAACTATTGAGATTGGTCCTGTCGCTGTTAACTACTGAGGTTGGTTCTGTCACTATTAACTACTGAGGTTGTTCCTGTCACTGATAACTACCAAGATCTGGTACTATCACTGTTAACTCACCAGGAATCTCTATTTCGTTTCTCAGGAACTCCATTTTGAACTCACTCATCCATGGGGAGTACTCTTTCAGGTTCCCAGGCGGCTTTAAGCATTCTCTCATTTTTGCAAGCAGGCGGTTAGCATAATTACTGAACTCGCTGAGCTCCATACTGAGCAGCTTAGAACCACCATTTCCAAAGCATTTATCAAAATTTTTCCCAAAGTTCTGAAAAATGAAAATTTCCTATAAAGATTAACATTTGCATTGTACATTATAAAGCGAATTTTTCAATACTTTAAAACATGCTTTTTGTTTGTATCTCGTCATCCTTTAGAAACTGGCATGGTTATACAACCTCTTTGCAACCTCTATCTACTTTGGGGTCTATTCCATTTGATGTAAAAAGTCATGGCATGATCAGGCACAAAGCTGAAAAGAAAATAAAGGGAGCAATTCAATAACAACAAACAGCTCATAGTTCTTCATATGAGCTAAAGAGAAGAACGCAAGCATGCCACTGGCCTTAGAACTGAGACACTGTGCTGGATCACAGACAGCAGAAATACCACTCAGACGATCTGTAATTCTAAAGCAATTATTAGAAATATCGCGCCTGGCTAAACACTCTGCCTTCTTTCTTTGGTGCGGTCTTAAATATTTACATGACTGCCAATTTTAATATCAAATGAAAAAGAGCAAAATCTAAGACTATTACTGGTAGCAACTTCATAGTCATCTAGATTTACCAGATGATCTTTTTTGTTTTTGAGACAAGTCTCATGTAACCCAGGCTTCCCTCGAACTCAATACGTAGCCAAGGATGAATTTGCACTTCTGCTCCTCTTGCTGACAACTGCTAAGTGCTGGGATTATGGTCATGCATGACCTTACCCAGCTACTTCCGTCAGGCCATCATTAATTACAAAAGTCTTTGTCAATTTTTTTCTTGTTTTTTTTTCTTTTCTTTTCTTTTCTTTTCTTTTCCCCCTTCTGTTTTGCTTTTTGGTTTTTTGAG